AACCCAAAATGCTACCGACCCATAGCCCTTCCACCAGTGGTGTCAAAGGTAATGGAGAGTCTGGTAGACGACCGTGTCAGGGAGTACTTAGAAAAGAGGGGAGCGCTAAGTGATGCTCAACAAGGTTTCAGAAAGGGTGGGTCCCGTGCCACAAACATTCTGGTGGCGGGTGATAAGTGGACGGCATGCTGGGACCTCCAAATTCCTGTCCATGTCATTTTCCTGGATTTTACTAAGGCCTTCGACACAGTTCCACACATCGTTCTTATTCACAAAATAGAAAGGTTGGGCATCAAGGGACAAAGCTTTCATGGCTGCAGGACTATCTAGACAGTAGACAACTCTGCACAACAGCCGACAGAGTTTGCTCGACTTGGATGACATCATCATCTGGTGTTCCACAAAGGGCGATTCTGGGTCCACTACTATTCCTTTTTTTGTGAACAACCCCCCACTGAATCTCAGTTCCCCAATTCTACTCCACGCTGATGATGTTAAGCTATGGAGAGCTGTGGCGTCAGAAACAGAATAAAGTGCACCGCAAAGTGATCTCAGATTACTTGCAGAGTGGGTGGATATTAATGGACTTGCATTCAACCCAGATAAATGCCAAACCATGTTTCTCCGCACCCCAGACTCTCAGAAGGTACCCTATTCTCTCTTTGGAACACAACTCTCCCACACCACCACAGAGAAAGACCTAGAACTAATGCCAACTGGCAAACTAGACACTAGCCCCAATTATCCAGGAGTTGCCTCCAGAGCTTACGCAGTGCTGCACTTCATGCGCAGACAATTGGGTGCCCTGACCCTGGAACTCTTTTTGAAGCTGCACAAGATCTACACACGACCCCACCTAGAGGTACACAACGTCATTGCACCACCATATCTGAAAAGAGACGTAAACCCCCTGGAGAAAGTCCAAAGGCGGGCTACAAAGGGTGTCGTGGGAATGCGGCATAATCGTATTGGGACAGGCTGAAAGATCTAGGGCCCTACTCCCTAAGCTACCGTAGATTACGTGGTGACTTGATAACGGCTCACAAAATGCTCAGTAACCCAAGTCATCCGAACAGTGGAATCCTACCGAACGGCTACTATGGCGATCCTCGTGGTAATTCAAGGGGACTCACTCACCAAGGAGCGAAAACTCGTGTGTGATCACATCTCTTCTCCCTGCGAGTTTGCGACCACTAGAACGCATTGCCTGCCGAGATTGCTACTGCTCCGTCTGTTGACAGCTTCAAGAAGAGGTTGGACAGTTACGCAGAGACGCACGGTTTGCGCTCATCCAACTGGGATGTAAACTAGGCTGACACGACCTACTAACTCGGTACGATCAACCGTTGCTGAACACCTCGTAAAACCACTTTCGCTGAGAACTTGGCTCAACCCTACACCTTCCTGTAGACGTCCCCTCCAGTTGCTGTTCTCTACTAAAAGAATTACTATATTCCCTTTCCTCCTATAGTGTTATTTATTCTTCTTGCTCCTGACTTTACGTTCTCGAACTTTAACAAAAACTTTCCCTATCACCTATTCCCCGTGAACCTACCAATGTTTTATTCTTCCGTGCCGTTTCCTTTTTCCTAATCTTTTTTTATTTAATATATATTCTTCTTCTTCCTTCTTTCCTTTTCTTTTTCTATTTTGTCTCTCTCTGCACTTTCTCTCCCTTGATTTCTCCGCACATATTTTTCATCTCCCTTTTACAACCACTCCGACTAATTGTCTGCTGGCACGGCATTTGAGGAACCGGTCAGCACCAGATTCCTCGGAAGAAAAGGCAAGCAAACAAACAACACTCCATACAAACCTAAACATTACCCAACCGCCCATCAGGCTAGCCAGAGCTACAGCAGTCGAGTGGGTGGACCTACTGCGTTGGAATCCACCAAAGACCTGGAACAGTTCCGCAAGACCTAGAAGCGAGCGCGAAGAAATCAATTGATTTACACTAGCTTGTTGAAAGATACTGATTGGATGTTAGCAAACATTTCGATCTTTGCGTTGCGCGCTCCTTGAGTAGTGACGTGTTTCGCTCGTCTCTCAGCTTTTGGATTTTTCCACAATGAAAAACTCCCACTTGCAATACTCAATCTAAAAACATCGAACGTTTGCAGCACTTCTGTCCATCCACGCACCTCACCCCTGCGCATTCGTCAGCTCACTCCTCAACAGTTGAAAATTGGCATTATTATTCCTTTGAACCAACCGGTCTACCTCCTGTCAGTGGTTCTTGGGCGTTTCAGCTGCCAAACTGCCTTAGCTCTCGGTTCTCCTCGGAGGTCATTCCCCAGGAAATATCTTCCTGGTTATACATACGCATCTGGAGCTTACGGTTAAACTCGTTGGTCAAGAGCAGAGGATCAAGTGACAAGTGTCTGAAGGTGAGCCAACATAAATTATCTTCCCTTTTCTATTCTGTCCTTTTGCTGCATTCAGTCTTCAACCCTCTTATTGTTGTTAACTACTTGTTTTCCCAAGAAGTTTATATCATAGCGACATGTCTGCCCAAAACGCTAGGTCTGAAGCTTTGACACGGATAACGCGGTCGTGCACAACAACGGCCAGTAACACCCTAAACAACACACTAGTCTGTACTAGAAGACAAACAGAGGTAGGGCAGAACATCGAACTTCTGAAGAAGTGGCCAACCCATGTTTCTAGAATTCCAGTAGCCATCAGACAGGTGACACAGAGAAGCACTAGCCCGTCACAAACTAGTCCTATCTTGAGCAAGGATCATACCATGCCTGAACATAGAAGACGACGTAAAAGGCTTCAGAACAAGGCAGCCACAAGCAGTTCGCCACAATCCGTAGCACCTTATTCATGGAAGGAAGGCTGTATTACGACACCCGATGGCTGCAGTGTTTGCACCAAAGTTGTTTCGGTAGTCGATGAGGCATTTGCATGCAACCTGTGTCAACGATGGGCGCATTGCCACTGCGATACCAAAGTCCCCCGACAATACTATAAGCTGATGAAGAGACAACCATGCAAGTGGTTCTGGTACATCTGTCCAGAGTGCAGGAAAATGCCCGCACTCCGCACAGAAAGCCTGAAGGAGATGCTCTCCGCCACGCAAAAGCTACCAGCATCCTCGAATAAGTAGGGTTAACACCAAAGGATAACACAGAGAGACCTGGAAACAGACCTAGAGCTCCAGCTGTGGGCACGCCATCTCGCGTGGGGACCATATTAGGTCAAGTCTCCATACCCCCACCCGGCCCCAGGGGACGTCAAGCGCATGGCCAAAGACATCGACCGCCGAAGCCTCTACGAAACCCATTCCGAACACCCCACACACCGTGACTGAGAAACAACCAGTGGAATTACTCAAACCCATTGGAAGTCGGGCGTGCCACCCACAACGAACCCAGGTCACAGGAGGACCAACTCGATCATTTTGTTCAACGTCGATGTATCGACAGACTCATTGTTGGTCGAGAGGGAACAATTTGACAGCCGAATGTGGACCGACTACTGTCAGATGCTGGGACTCCCTCCCCTCCCTGCAACTTTGTGTCGCCTTTCTCGAGGAAGCCATGCACCCCGAGATAAGCCCCCCCTTTACGTGTGTCCCTAAATACCGCCAAAGAGGCTGAAGACACACTCCTCCTCTCGCGACAACCGGACGTTGTTAATGCCTGTAAAATTCGGGCCAGGCCTGACAAGCCATGGTCAGTAAGAGAGGAGGAGAGAAAGTCAGCGGTTGGAAATCCCAACAGAAACAACACTATAGTTGTACATGGGATTCCAGAATTGCCAAGTGACAGCTCGGTCAAAGATCGGTACTTTCACGACGTCCAACAATGGCAATGGCTCTCAACCAAAGTTGGTCTCAACAGTATACCGGCCAACAGCGTCAGTAGACTGCCAAGGCCAGCGCACCTGAAGACCATACCCAATCCCAGACTACTTGCCGTCCAGTTCGACTCATATGCCTCCCTCACAGACGTTCTGCACGCATGGTATAATGCGAAAGATCGCATGGGTGGCTCAATACGTATATGTGAAAGTAAGCCTAGACCCACAAGGCAAGAGGAGAGACGGCAACCACCAAGACCTCTGGAGTCAGTGGTCGTCACACAGGCGCTGACCAGTGAGTTAGATACATCAAGTAAAGAAGCCACCACTGCTACAGCCCCCACCCAAGTTAAGAACAAAACACAAAAAAACGGAACAATGCCAGTCCTATGAGGACTGGCGAGGCTAAATTCAACCACGTAAGCGCTCATCCCGCGAAAATACACATCCAGACCTCCCCTCTCATCAGGTACACTCTAATATGTATGTACAGCAACGTTAGGGGGCTAATAGGGAAGGTAGCAAAAATGAGGACGCTGCGTGAACATCAGCACTCCGACATCATATTCATCACCGAATCCTGGCTCTCATCGGACATCTCCGACGAAGAGATGCGTGTTGCTGGCATGGAACTCTTCCGCAGGGACAGGGAACATAGAGCAGGAGGGGGAGTGGCTATCTACGCAAACTCCTGTTTAAAGGCAAGGATGGTTAGCGATACGGCCTTAACCCAGCTCCCAGAGTCTCTATGGTGCTACTTCACTCTCTTCTTTATTCTCTCTTCATTCCTTTACCACTACCTTACTATTCTCTTCCAGGTACCTACACAGACAGGAGTCATGGCAGTTCTCTAAACTTCCCAGCAACCCGTAGCTCCCTAATCACTCTACAAATTACAACCTACTAACCCACAAAACATCCACCTCACCGAAGCTAAAAGCAAGAAAGCAGAGGGATTTCCTCGTCCACTGCAGGAGTAAACCGAACAACTGGAACCAAGCCCTAAGAACTAGACGCGAGAGATCAAAAACTACTAGTTTTCTACGCTCGCACTATCAATATTGGATATTGGTATATTGAAAGATAAATATGTGTTGTGCTAGACCCATTACAAACTTTTTGCTTTGAATGCCCTAAATGTAAGTACACACACTGTCCTTAAAAACGCAATCTGTTCAACATTTGTGATGTGTGATTCAATTTTGCATCACAATTGCAAGTAAGTGTCTAGCTTATTTATATGTTTACATTTAGGTTTCATTTCAGCGATAATCACTCTCGTGTCGAATGGAAGGAAAGCATTAAAAACATATTGGTTGTTCACAAGTTTTGCGATCTCAATGTTATTGAGAGTCTGAAGGCATTTATCCACTTTACGTTGAAAGTTCGTCGTTTGTTTTTTGAATCAGTTCTCTTTTGAAATTACTTGAAATTTTGCAGTCGAGTTTCACACACTTCCAATCATGCCCATTTCATTGGAGCTAGTGTTATACCGCGGTCTGTGCAGTATTGCAAACATGCATCTGTCTATTGTATGCAATTTAAAAGTGTGATTGAGGAATTCAGTGGATTGTTAGATAATCGCTCAAGTATTTTCTGTCAATTTTTAAATATTGACGGCAATAAAAATCCTCTGGCTGTGATGACATAAGATCGGTGGTCCTACGCAACTGTGCCGAAGTGCTAAGAATGCCCATATGCAAACTTCACGCACTCGTTGGAGTAAGTCAACTCCCCAGAGAATGAAAACGCGCCATCCTTTCACCAATCCTCAAGGGAGGAGACCGAAAAACCCGTGCAACCGCAGACCAATAGCACTACTCCCTTTACTTTCCAATGTATAGAGAAGCCTGGTTGTAAATGTTGTTTGGGACTACCTGAACAGAAACAACAACGTCCATCCCACCCAATATGACTTGAAAACCAGGCGGTCATGTGCCACAAACTTGGTGACCGCTTGGGATGACTGGACCACTAGATGGGACAACAAAAGACCCGTCCATATCTTGGAGTTGGCCAAAGCTTTCGATAGCGTCCCACACTGCACCATGCTCTCCAAACTTGCGAAAGTGGGTATCAATGAACCACTCTAAGCATGGTTTACGGTATACCTAAAAGACAGAGAATTCTGCACTAAAGTGAACCTGGAGGAATGCAAGAACAAGAGTTCAGGAGCGATCCTGGGGTCATTCCTATTTATACCATTCATAAATGACCTCCCCGTTAAAATCTCTTCATCTATCCTCCTATCCGCCGATAACATCAAAATATGGAGGACGACAGGTGACGAAGAGGATCCTAGGGTACTCCAAAACGACCAGTTGCGGCTGGAGTCCTGGTCAGCTGCACACGGTATAAGCTTTAACCTGGAGAGGTGCAAGGTGATGTAATTCACACACCACAGGCGATGAAGATCAGCTACACTTTTGACAAGTATGGAGTCACCAAGGTAACCATAGAGAAAGAACTTAGGATTAGACTTTTCTGACACACTAGATACTACTGGGATTTATAAGGGAATGGCGGCAAAGGCGAACGCCACTATGCACTTTCTAAGAAGGCAGCTTGGATTGTCAACCCCATAATTGTTTCTTATGGTATTTAAGGCCTGTCTTAGACCACACCTAGCCCCCTCCAAGTACTGAAGAGAGACGCGAATACTCTCGAGAAGTTACGGAGAAGGGCGACAAGTTCGGTTATCGGACTAACAGGTAAAACATATGTATGACTCCTCAGACAACTTAACTTGTTCACACTAAGCTATCAAAGGAAACGAGGTGACCTGGTCATAGCCTAGAAGATCATTCATCAAGTGGACCACCCAAATGGGACAACGTCGTCGGTCCAAAACCAACAGTCCCGTGGGAACCCCACCATCAAGCAAAGACTAGAGTGAGATTTGACTTCTCCCACAGAGTATGTGCCTTATGAAACGCTCTGCCGAAGGATGTGGCCACAGCTACATCAGTTGACTCCTTCAAACGACTACTGGATGAGTTTGTGGGCGCAAATAGCTTACCACGAATATTTGTCAGTAGCAACTGATGATACGCCCTTTCACCCTCATATTCTCCAACCCTAGTACCTGCGATAGGACGCGTCTCCCCTCCATTTTATTACCAGTAACACTTATCTTTTCAGAAGTATTTTTCACTTCTCTTTTTGTAATTTTCCACTCACCCTGTTCCTATCACTTTTTAAGTAACGCTTATTACTCACTTACAGGTGCCTACAACAACAGCAATTGCAAATGATTGATTGTTCTTATCAGCAGCCCCGTTGCCAACCCCCCCCCCCCTCAAATAAAAACGAAGCCATAAATTGCAAATAAAATACCTTCAAATAGACAATCACTACCTCCAAAACTATAAGCATGAAGACGCAAAGACCTCTGCCACCCTCGAACGAGTACAACCAAACAAAAAGAACCGAGCCTCAAGACCTAGAAGGGAGAGCTCAAAAACTACAAGTTCCCTCTACTCGCACTATTGATGTTGAGTGTTGGATTGGTTTGATGTCTAGTAACTGCCTTTTGCAGTGGCCTTATGACTCTACTCTCGAGTCCTCATATGTGATAATGTTTCTGTAGTAGGAGAATCCATGCCATCGTTTAATCCAGACACGTTATATGACATCTAACAGAGGAGCCCTTTCTAAGTGTAAGATATCTTACAATTACATATGTAATTGTTAAAGATGTATTGCTGAGTAAGATTGGTGGGTGTAGAGGGTATCAGACTGCAATCTAGAAGTAGGTGGTGCATGGAATCTACACTGTGGGCAGACAGGATCAACATAGGATCTGGCATTTTTGCGTGACGTTCCAAGTTACCACACTTCACGTCAGTGGATAAAGCGAGAAAGCACTAAGATGAAAGATAAGGAAACAAATAATAGTCGGTTGTAAGCAGAATAAAGTAGTAAAAGGATGGAAGAAATATTGAATTCACTACGAAGATTCGAATGAGGACAGTGTGTGGATACATCTGCACAATCGAGATCGATTCTAAGCAATGTTACATAGAGCTTCTAACCAATGGTTTATGATATCACACAAACGCCGATCGGGAAATCTAAGTTACTGTATACAGCTCAGACCAAGACTTCAGAGATTGATGCTACGTCTTAGTCTGACCGCTCCTGACCTTTTTATAGCCTAAACCTACTTCAACTATCATTTTGCGTTGTGACAGGCGGTGACTAGACATGCCCTAGCCACCTCATTCAACAACAGTTGACAACCCCATCAACTAGCTTTTCTTTTCTCCCTAGAAATCTATTCGTGACTTCTAAATTACTGAGACCATGAAAAATACCCTATACCGTGAAGGCAACTTTGGTCAAACGCCTGAAGCCTTCTAATGTCCTCCGCCTTTGATGACGTTGTTTCACGGTTGTACAGTAGTTCAGAGAAGTACATGGCAGTATACTCGACGCTTAATAGACAGTTGGATATCATGGTGGCTCCACAAATGAAGTAAGTTGGTGAAAGTCAACAGAGTCTTTTGTATCTGTGCAGTGGCTTTGCTGGTCACTGACTTACCAAGGTCTGATTCCACCTCCTAGGTGCATAAAATGAGCAACCCACTTAACCATTTTACTGCGAATGGTAAAGAAGTTACAAGTAAAGACCAGTCCTGAAGCAGCAATTTACATTTGGGTGGTAAGAGGCGCATCTCAGATATTCTAGAATTGTTACTCAAAATTTTCAGAATGATCTTCATAGGAACGTCCAGTGGTGATAGAAGATGGAATCTTAGACACTTCATGCTTACCAGATATGGATGGTCGTTTGGTCACATTTATAGAAAGTGGTCGCCGTTATCTGTTCGTTCGATTGCGAATGCGAAAGTGTCTTCTAAGTTCCTTTCTGAGTGAACCAATTGTGCATTGAAGTCACGTGAGATGACTTTATTGGTAGGCAGTTTTCGTTCGAACTTATCATTCATTTTTCCCGAGCTGTAGTCAGTGGGTATGTAAGCAGAGATTGCAAAAAAACAACAGTGAGTTTCACTACTCTCTTAAGTCCTCATTATTCTCAGAGATGTGTAATCAGAGTTCTAAAGAAGTCGAAGAAGTTCTCCTTGTCTGTATAAACTATTCACAGTGAGCAATAAATCAAAAGTGAGCTCGAGATATAAGGACTTGATATAGTGCACAGTAAGGCAGACTTACACTGGTTAACGTCCTCGGCTATCTTGCGACCTTCCTTTCTACTCGTGATTCGTTATAAATTTTTAGTTATATGGTCTCGATTCATATTTTGAGAATTATTCGTTATTAGGAAGCAAAAGCTTTTTGACTGGCGCATACCGTTCAAGATATAATTGATTGTCTGTGGTGGTCGGTGGTTCGAATCCGACTTCGGTCCAGATTTTTATCCCACCTTCAATCATTACCCAGTATAAATACAATTAATTCATGAATCTTCGTAATCACCATTCGCTTTACATTTTTGGAGATGGTCGTGATTAGAGTATAGTGAGTTAGTCGATAATTCCGTTCTGATGTGCACATATCACTCGCCTACTCCAATTCATATGCCATCATTGTTTGCAGACTACTCGACCATCGTCCCATAGTCACACCATACAACCCATTAACACTTTATAACAGTAACAGCGTGGAGTTTCAGAGTGTTATCTGATGAAGTGAAGGTCCTTATTGGACAACTTATGGAATACAAGTTAAGAATCAAATTCCCAAACAATTTCGGTTATTAATAAACATTGAAAGTGTTAACTCGGTTTTCATAGCAGCTCTCAATGAATGCGTCGTCCACGAAACGACTAATCAGTTAAGCAGTTCACCGGTTGCTCACTACAATGCAGTAATTCTTATCGAAATCCCAAATCCACTCACAGAATCATCGACTAAAAGCTCCAGATGCTTCAACGATGGTGATCAGTAACTTATGACAACCGTATGGTTTGCTTATTTAAGTCTCATGATTCACAAAAATATGGTGATAAAGCACCCGGTGTTTCGCAACACTAGGTTTTATTCCTATGTGCTCATAACAAATTTCATATTTAACGTTTGATATTGGTTTCCAAGGCGATGGCAGTGTTGTCCATGTAGCCTTTCAATTTCATCGATCTTTTTCTTTGTAAATATACCGAGCTCTAAATTGCCTGAAAGTAGCGTTATAAATATATTTCTGGGATATATGCCTGCACTCTCATGGTTTTCCAAAGATAACGATTTATTTACGATGGTCAACTACATTTGTGGAAGTTAGCTTCTTATTTTGTTATTCGTAGAAATGGGACCTTAATATATATTTGGAATCGACTACGCTGAATGAACTGAAAGATGACAGCCTTTTCTATCCTATTATCCAACATTATGTAAATTTGGGAAGAGGCGAATCTTCACATAAAGTGTCCGAGAAAGATCTTTGTGAATTTCACGATGATTTGGCAGAAAATGCTTTTAAAATCAACCCGAAAAGTTCAATAGAAATCTTTGACCACAGTATACGTAGCAAAATAGATTTAATTGTTTGTCTTGGTGGTGATGGAACTCTTTTACAAATTGCATCAATGTTCCAGGTATGTTATTGAGTGATACGTTCTGTATTACAAACATTTTAGTGTACTTTTAAAGACTTCTTTGTTGTCTTTGTAACATCTGTTTGGAGATTATAATTTGTGAACTAAATGGTTTTTTAATGATGTTAAACGAGTAAAACTCTACGACTGGCTACTATTCTCATGAGCTTTCAGCTAGTTCAGCTGTCCAAGAATTACTGTATACTTTGCATTCTTGAAGGAATTGGACACATATTTACATTCTGATTTAAATTTCGTTAAGTCTGTAATTTTGATTCGGTTACTATTTAATATAACCTCGCCTGGTTAACTAGTTTACTAGTTACTAGCCGGTCCTAAGCCCGGGTAAAGAGGGAAGGTTGGGCATAGGGCTAGCAACCCTACCCCGTAAAACAAATCTAACCGCTAAAGAAACTTCAAAGCACAAACAAAATATAAAAAATGAAAACAAACTTATTCCCCGCTGGAATCGGAGAGGCGAAATGACGCCAGTTGGTGAAAGCCTTCGGGAAGCCAATTGGCCGATGTGTCTTCTCTCGATGAAAGCGAAAGTAAACGTGGGGACATGGAATGTCCGCACGATGTTTGAACCCAGTAAGGCAGCCCAGATTGCAAAGGAGATGAGAAGGTATAACATAGAAGTGCTTGGAATTTGCGAAAGCAGATGGAATGGGAGTGGACTCTCCAAACTGTCAACTGGAGAATCAATAATCTACTCCGGTCACCCAGACGCCAACCACGAGCACACTGAGGGAGTGGCTATCATGATGTCCTCAAGAGCATCGAAGGCTCTCATGCAGTGGGAACCAATCTCCTCCAGGATCATGACAGCAAGATTCAACTCAAAAGGAAGAAAGGTCACAATCATACAATGTTATGCACCTACAAATAATGCAGAGCAAGAGAAAAAGGAGGAATTCTACAGACAACTTCAATCAACACTGGACAAGACGTCAGTTGGCGATATCAAAATTCTAATGGGCGACATGAATGCCAAACTGGGAGGTGACAACACAGGAAGAGAACTAACCATGGGTCGAGAGGCGCTAGGTGAAATGAATGAGAATGGAGAATTGTTTGCAGAATTCTGTGCATTCAACGATTTGGTGATTGGAGGCAGTGTGTTCAGGCACAAGGATATCCACAAAGCGACATGGACTTCACCAGATGGACACACTAAAAATCAAATCGACTTTATCTCAATCTCAAGAAAATGGAGACGCAGTCTACTTAACACAAGGTCAAGAAGAGGAGCAGATGTAGGTTCAGACCACTATCTAGTGCAAGGAACCTTCCAAATCAAGTTAAAAGCCTTCAAGGAAGCTGGTGATAGACCTCAATTCAAGTACAACACTAGGAAACTGAAGGATGAAACTACAAAGGAGATCTTCAAGGCAGCCATCAAGACAAAATGGGAGACATCGAGGGACATCCCTGAAGAAACCTGTGTGGAAGAACATTGGAAGTCTTTGAAAGCTATGTGGAAAGAAACCTGCACAACAGTATTAGGAAGGAAGAAGAAAGAAGACAAGGAATGGATCTCGACGGATACCTGGAAGCTGATAGAGGAGAGGAGGATGGTGAAGCAGAAGATAAACCAGTGCAAGGATGCTCAACGACAAGAGGAACTGAGCACAATGTATAAAACACTGGACAAAGAAGTGAAGAAGAGTGCACGCAAAGACAAAAGACACTTCTACGAAACACTGGCAAGTGAAGCAGAACAGGCTGCAGGTAAGAGAGACCTGACGACATTGTATCAAATAACCAGGTTGCTATCAGGGAAGAGACCAACACAGATGAAACCAATAAAAGATGAAGAAGGAAATTTAATTACAAAAGAAGAGAAACAGAGGAAACGATGGGCCGACCACTTCAAGAAGCTCTTGAATCGACCACCACCTGCACTTCGTCCAGAAATACCACCTGCACCTGCTGAATTACAAGTGAACATAAATCCCCCAACGAAAATGGAAGTCGTGAACGCCATAAAGTTACTGAAATGCGGGAAAGCAGCAGGACCAGATGGGATACCGCCAGAAGCACTGAGAACAGATGCAGAGACAACAGCGGACATGCTCACACCACTATTGCAGAAGGTGTGGAAGGAAGAGAAGGTACCGGACGATTGGAAGAAGGGTTACCTTGTCAAACTGCCGAAGAAGGGAGACCTCAGTGCTTGCAAGAACTGGCGCGGAATCACTCTCCTGTCCACCCCAAGTAAAATATTAAGCCGCATCATCCTGGAGAGGCTTAAAGACGCACTGGATTCAAAACTGCGACCGGAACAGGCAGGCTTCAGGAAGTACAAATCATGTGCTGACCAAATTGCAACACTTCGTATCATCATAGAACAGAGCGTAGAATGGCAATCAGCTCTCTACCTCAACTTCATCGACTTTGAGAAGGCCTTTGACAGCGTCGACCGAGAAGTAATTTGGAAACTGCTTCAATACTACGGAGTACCGCAAACCTTTATCCGCCTCATTCAACAACTATATGAAGATGCCACATGCCAAGTAATCCACAATGGGAAGCTCAGTGATGCCTTTGAAGTGAAGACAGGAGTGAAACAAGGTTGCCTACTATCCCCCATGATATTCCTTATTGTGGTGGACTGGATCATGCAGCAAACAGTAGGCAGCGAGAAGAGGGGGATACACTGGACGACGGAAAAGAACCTAGAAGACTTGGATTTCGCCGATGACTTATGCCTAATGTCACATAAACTTGAAGATCTGCAGGCAAAAACTAACAAGTTGACAGAAGAGGCAGCGAAGACGGGACTTCAGGTGAATATAGAGAAGACAGAAGTGATGAAGATACCGCACCACCACCATCAACAACAACAACAACAAACTCCAATCACCGTCAACGGGAGAAACTTGAAGGAAGTAACCTCCTTCACTTATCTAGGAAGCATTGTTTCAACTACAGGCGGGACGGACGAGGACGTCAAAGTCAGAATCGGAAAAGCAAGACAGGCGTTCATTAGCCTGAAACCAGTGTGGAGATCTTCTGCACTCAGCATCTGGAACAAGATACGGATTTTCAACACCAACGTCAAGTCAGTGCTCTTGTATGGCTCAGAGACTTGGCGCGTCACGAAAGGGATTTCCAATAAACTACAGACATTCATCAACAACTGCTTACGCTCGCTGCTGAAGATCAGATGGCCAGAAAAAATAAGCAACAAGGAACTCTGGGAACGAACCAACCAAGAAGCTATCACGCAACAAATATGCAGGAGGAAGTGGAGATGGATTGGCCATGCACTGAGAAGGCCGACTGAGGACATCACGCGTCAGGCCCTCGAGTGGAATCCCCATGGGAAGCGACGAGTTGGACGTCCGAGGGTGACATGGAGGAGGTCATGCGAGGAGGAAATGAGAGCTTCTGGGCTGTCGTGGAACCAGGTTCAAAAGATCTCAGAGAACAGAGGTCACTGGAGGCGTGCTACTGAAGCCCTATGTTCCACTAGGAACCCAAGGGACTAATAATAATAATAATAATAATAATACTATTTAATATGTATAGTGAACCTCATCATTTTTCATTTCTCCTTGCTTACTGATATTCACCAAGCGAAGGGCTGCTTCGTAGGTTTTAATATCACAGTGGTAGGCAGCTAGAAATCTGTGTTTATATATCTGAATAATGTAGTACTACGAATGTTATCTGAATATCAGTCGATGTAGGAGGTTCATACGTGTGATAGTGTACTATGGGTTTTTGATTTGTACTTAATATCTGGTGGTAATTCTATTAATGCCCGAAAAATGTCTCTTCTGACTGCTTGGTGTAGGTGATTTGAGTAACTGTTAACAACTTTCCAAAACGTCTTGAAAAATAAACGACAATGTACAAACAAGGGCCTGTACATACATTTTCTGCAGCATTTGTCTCTGTAACATTTTGCTGCCTCATTTTGTCTTCATAATGCGTTTACTTTGCTGAAGACTGTGAGTTATTAGGTTTTGGTTTCTCTTTACTATTATGTGAAGTTGTACAATCGAAACTTCATTTTATACTAGACATATATATATATATATATATATATATATATATATATATATATATGTTGCGGCTAATTTTGTTCCTGGTGTAAGTGAGGGGTTTGTCAGTATGGCTGCTTCAGTTATTTTTGGATCTGCTTTCAATAAATGATTTCCTGAATTAAATGGCTTATATATTTGATTTCTGTGCGAAAGGTCATAAAGTTATTAAATCGAACCTTAAGCTGCATCAAAATATCACTTTGACCTCAAAAATAGTGTTAACTCACTTGGACACTACTTCTAGTTGTTTCTCTACCACCAACCACTAGTCTTTATCTTGAGTCCTACTGATATGTGGAAGGGTATCGAACCATTTTAATGTATATGAGTAATGACAGCTTTACCATCTTATAAACCGGAACCCCAGTGTACATCAATATTAGACTAGTCTATCTGATATATCTCACAATAATACAGTATTATGCACTATATAACTTTTATTAACCGACGTCAGTAAATATAGGTTTGGTTAAATCTTTCAGTAAGCGAGCTGAGAATCTATCCGGTAAGTCGAAAAATTTAGTTAAATGGAATACTTTACTTCTTCATAACCATCCTTCTTGATTTATTTAGAAATTCATAATGAAGCACAAAAGTAGTAATATGAGAAATGACTGAAACATAATTACTCAGTAATTCAAGGCCTGTTTTGCATTGTCATATAAGGTAGAGGTATAAAAACTTTACATAGTTTTCGATAAGGCTAGGATTAGGGTGGCATTCAAACCTACAAAGTCACTTAGAGACAAATGTTGTCTGCTCGAGGATTATGTTGACCTTATAATTATACAAAATAATGTAATTTACCAAATGCCTTACAATGACCGTTAAGTCAAGTACATAGGCCGAACTAGCCGATCGGGATCAGTCAAGCTGGCTTAACATAGGAAATTAGCTGTCCAAATCGATAAACCCTATTAAGAAGACTAATCTGTAGAACATTTCAGTCATAGATCTGCATTCGAGAACATACAACTGCACAACAAGGTAGGACAGAGTAAAAGTCCTAAAGAATAATATATTTAAATGGAGAGAGAGGCTGATCAGTGTATCTTTTTCCATCGATTCAACACCTAACATGTGTACTAGAAATCATTCAGTACCAATTCCATATAGATTGAAAACCCTACTAACAGTGAAATCAAGCAAGGAAAAGCAATAGAACTTTAGAAAACGAAGATGGAGTTTTGTGATTGTGTTCTGAACGTAATCTAGTGAATAAGGCTATATCACTGTGTGCTATATCAAATAGACGAACTTAATATGAAATTACACTGCAGAAGTGCCTAAGTTCTTTACTTACTTAAGTATGTATCGTCATCATCGAACTGATAAATTAATCCTTTCAAAGACAGTTGGTATATCTGAAACTAATAACAGGACTATCGCAAGTAGTTATGTGACTAAATTGCACTTCTTTTGTAAAAATGTTACAATTTCAAGGTGTTATTCTTCATGAGCTGACTGTCTAGTGCTCATTAGTGACATACTTCGAGATCAGACTTTCCAGAACTTTTAATGAGAAGTTGTGATTGGTCAAGGTGACTGACTGACAAAATCAAGGTAGAGCCTCGCACACAGGCGCATCAGCCCAAGTTTTCACACTTCACAGTAGTACACAAAAAACAAGTAGATAGAAAAAGAGTGATATCAATGTGGTTAACGTAGTGTGAGAGAATAAACAATCTGAAGATAAAGATTAGTGCGAATATTCAAGCTTTAGAATATGTCAAGGAGTGATTACACCTGCGCCATTGTGACCGATTTTGAGCCATGTAACCAAGAAACGTCAACCACTGATTCCTTTCGTCTCGGGAACTCTAACCAAAGTAGTCTACATCTCTCCATAAGACTCAGACCAAAAGTTAGAGACTTCACAGTCTTAGTCTAGCCACCCTGAACCCTCTTCCAGCTTAATGCAACTTCCGTTAGCAAGGTACGTCGAGGTAGGCGGTGTCTCGGCATGCACAGAATATTTCCAAGCCATCTCAGTCGATCAAGGTTCACAACCTCACCAATCGAATTACCCTTCGCCTGACCTGGACATTGCTCACACGTTGATTTCACCAAACGCGAGCAATGCTATGAAGACATCTGTAACCGATGAGGCAAATCAATTCAGACATGAGGACAAATACTCACCTATGGCATTGGATGAAGGTGGCACTGGACCACCAATCGACAGAAGTAGGGAAATGTAGACCATTGAATTCCGACCCAGTGGCTGAATGGTAAAGTCATCGCTGCGAGACCTAAAGGTGCTGGGTCCGATACCTTGTGGCATCACGGGCGCGTACTGCTGAATAGCTTCCCAAACAGAGTACTGATATCTAGGCAGCCTAATTGTTGTTAGTTTTATTCTTATTATTGGAAATATCCTGTCATCTGTTACATGCAGTACTTTTTCCTGTTTAATTCAGTCTAGGCAATTTTTTGTCAAAAAATGGTCCATGAAACATAAAACTATAAAGTTGGGTTCCTATATTTATCATACTATTTTGGGTTTTGTTAAATATGGGTTTCATTCAATGTGTTCAAAATTTTTTGCATTATTTAGGGAACTACTCCACCTGTAATTGCGTTTCGTCTGGGAACACTTGGTTTTTTAACACCATTTCCTTTTAATACTTTTAGGACGCAAATGAAAACTGTTCTTGAAGGTAAGAAACTATTCTTATTAACGTAAGGACTAAATCCTAAATGCATTATCATGGCACATTACTTTTAATGTTGACGGTAGTAAACTCATTGAATTTCTGTTTTTACACGAAACCGTTGAATGATTACGTGTTTCTCTTGGTTTTGGTGGATTATTATTGTTATTATTAGAACACAAACATGGTACAGCAAGGACACGACGAAATGCGCACCACAAGATAATATAACAGCATTGTGAAGACTTAAAGCGAAGGGAAGTGGATAAAAATAAAACACAGTAAGAATAGAATGATTAGAAAGGTAGTCCACTAAGATACATTCAAAACAAAACATTCATTACTTTTCAGCAGTAGAAGATAAGAGGAAGCTACAGCATGACTGCCACTGGTTTCAATTCTGACCCATATCTGATAACATATCAAGCCACTGAGTTGCGTGATCTCTCAGACCCCACCAAGGGAGTTATGATGCGCTAACAGATGCTTTCCCTATATAACTGTCCTTCATTCCACGGCGCCACGTCATACACTGACCATCCCTCCGCTTCTTCCATCCAGTCCCAGGGCTAGCAAATAATGAACGGTATGGAAACCATTGGGACAACATGCGTAACACATGTCCAAGCCACCGAAGCCCGTGTTTCCAAATGGCTTTACATATTGAATGACAATCTCCAGCATAGCCATACGCACACTGTCGTACCTCAAAAATGCTTACGTGGTGTTGCCACCTGATACGAACCGTCCTACGAAGACAACGATGATCGAACACACAGAGTCGTCTCACATCCTCAGCTCGGAGAGTCTAGATTTCACAGGCTCAGAGCAGAACTACTTGCAACGAAGCGTTGTAAACCCGACCTTTTACGATCAGACTAAGGTCACAACGGTGCCAAAGGTGGTCCATGTTGACGTATGGCACTCTGGCTTTCGACATGTGGTTGGAAATTTCACCACACACCTCCACCGGCACTCATAAAACTACCCAGAAACATGGACTTTTTAACTACTTCCAACGTCTCACCACCATAAGTGAGCTCAGGCACAGGCTTCTATCAATCTCGCAAAAGCATTTTCCACTTCAGTGGTGCAAAGCAAATACTATGCTTACGCACAATATAGTGAATATATGGACTCTTATATTTTACTAGTTATAATCTTTTTCTAACTGCCTCTTGTCATAAACTCTTATTATATCTTCACTCACCGTAAATACATCATTTTTGCTCTTGATAAGTATGTCCTTGTATTGATCAGCTTAACTTCTGTTTGGAGCCGTTGCATTAGTAACAGTAAAGAGGTAAGTCAGTTGATGGGGTTGTAAACCTTCATTGACTCACATGGCTAGGATATGACCACCTACGTCGACGTGCAATGCTAGGTGAAGTTGGATTGGGTTTGAAGAGGGTTCAAGATGACTAGACTAAGACGTGGCACCAGTGCATGAAGTCCCTGACTGTAGGTCTGAGCCATATAGGGAGGTGTAGAATACCTGACTCGGGTACTTGAGAAGATTAGACTCTGTAAGATGGCTAAAAATCGGTCACAGTGACACAGATCTGTTCACTCCTTGATGTCTCCCAGATCTTGAATGTTTTAACAAATCTTACTTTTTAAATTCCCTCTCCTCTCTTACATCTTTGTCTACTTTGGTATCAGTCTTTTTCTGTCCACTTGTTCTTCGCATGCTAATGTAAAGTGTGACAAACTTGAATGGGTGCGCTTTTGTGCTAGGTTATAGGTTGATTTTGTCTCTGTCTGCTCGGATACGTATAACACATATGCCTAGTCACTGCCTTCCCTAAGCATAACGTTAGCTGAAGTAGGATGAAGTTGGGAATCCATTGGAAATCTAATGGTTCATAATTCCTACTTCCGTATCCTCACCTCTTCCACTCTTCTAATGTTTTTTATGAATTATGGTAACGTTTTTTCTATCTCTTCATCTTTTGTCTTGCAGCTTTATATGCTTGTGTTAGGTGTGGTAACTTGGACTGTGACTCAATATTGCCAAGTCTTATATTCAGATCTTGACTGGCTGACTGACTGACCAACTATTTATCAGCGCACAATTACTTCTTGATCAATCACACTGAAATGAACTGGGGTTATGAATTACAGATTCTTATGCACACTTCTTTTTGGAGGCTGTGATGAAAATGATACCTGACATGACACTCGCCAAGACTTAAGCTTAGAAAAAACGACTGTAATCATTACTGAACAAGACCCCAGTTGGCGACATCAAAACTCTTATGCGTGACATGAATGCCAAACTGGGAGCGGACAACACAGGAAGAGAACTCATCATGGGTCGAGAAGTACTCGGTGAAATGATAAGTGAGAATGGAGAACTGTTTGCAGACTTCTGCGCATTCAGCGACTTGGTGATTGGAGGCAGTGTGTATAAGCACAGGGACACTCATAAAGTGACATGGATTTGATTTCACTAGACACCAGGACACACTAAAAATCAAATCGACTTCATCTCAATGTGAAGAAAGTGGAGATGCAGCCAGCCTAATGGACACAAGATCAAGAAGGGGAAAAGATGTAGGTTCACACCACACACTGTCTAGTGAAATGAACCTTCAAAATCAAGTTCAAAACCTTCAATTCAAAGAACCTGGTGATGGACGACCACAGTTCAAGTTCAGCACCCAGAACAGAAACTGAAGGACGAAACCACAAAGAAAATCTTCACGTCATCCATCAAGACAAAATGGGAGATATCGAACAGCATTCCAGAAGAAACCTGTGTGGATGAGCACTGGAACGCTTTGAAAGATATATGGAAAGACACCTGTATAGGTGTATTAGGAGGGAAGAAGGAAGAAGATAAGGAATGGATTTCGACGGACACAGGGAAGCTGATAGAGGAGGGGAAGGAAGATGGTGATGGTGAATCGGAAGATGAAACAGTGCAAGGATGAACGACGAGAAGAGGAACTGAGTACAATGTTTAAAGCACTAGAAAAAGAAGTGAAGAGAGTGCGCTCAAAGACAAACGACATTTCTACGACACACTGGCAAGTGAAGCAGAACAAACTGCAGGTAGGAGAGATGGGGACCTGACAACATTGTATCAAATAACCAGGTTACTATCTGGGAGGGAAGCGATCAACGCAGATGAAACCAATAAAAGGTGATGAAGGAAATCTAATTACCAAGGAAGGGAAACAAAGGAAACGATGGTCTGACCACTACGTAAGGCTCTCGAACGCACCAACCCCACCACCTGCAACTCGTCAAGAAATACCACCAGCAGCCCAGTCACAGAACTACAAGTGAACACAAGTCCTCCAACAAAAGTCGAAGTCCTGAATACCACAAGGCTACTGAAATCCGGGAGAGCAGCAGGACCAGATGGAATTCCTTCAGAAGCACTGAAAACAGACGCAGAGACAATAGCAGACCTGCTCACACCACTATTACAGAAGGTTGGAAGGCAGGAAAGGTACCTGCCGACTGATTGGAAGAAGGGCTACCTTGTCAAACTCCCGAAGAGGGGTGACTGAAGTCTTTGCAAGGACAAGAACTGGCGCGGAATCATGCTGCTGTCCACCCGAAGCAAAATATTAAGCCAGATCATCCTGGAGAGACTAAAAGATGGGGTGGGTTCAGAATTACGACCAGAACAGGCTGGCTGGCTGGCTGGCCGGCGGGCTTCAGGAAGCACAAATCATGTGTGGATCAAATTGCAGTGCTATGCTATGCATCATCAAATAACAGAGCATCGAATGACAGTCAACTCTCTACCTGAACTTTATCGACTTTGAAAAGGCCTTCGACAGCGTCGACCCGTAAAGTAATTTGGTAGACAGCTGCTTCAACACTACGGTTTTAGTGCCACAAACCTTTATCAACCTCATTCGACATCTATATGCTATATGGTGCTACATGCTAAGTGATTGGCAGTGGAAAGCTCAGTGACGCCTTTGAAGTGAAGACAGGAGTAAGACAAGGTTCCCGCCTACTATCACCCATGATCTTCCTGATTGTGGTCGACTGAACTGGACTGGATCATGCAAGAAACTGAGAAGATGGGTATACGCTGGCTGGACCGATGAGAAGACCCTAGAAGATTTGGATTTCATCGATGATGATTTATGTCTAATGTCTTGAAGCACAAGCTCGAAGATCCACAGGAGAAAACTAACAAGTTGACAGAAGAGGCAAGGCAGCGAAGATGGGACTTCAAGTGAACGTAGAGAAGACGGAGGTGCATTTAATTACATCGTAAGTCGAAAAAAATACTTCAGTCACTGGACACTCCATTGTTGCTTTCTTTATCACATCATGAGTTTCCTAGGGGCTATCAATACTTCTTTTTACTTTGACAAAGCAACAACCTTAACTGATTAATTACTGAAATCACCTTTTTGTGAATATTTTTTGCGTTTCTCTAATACTAAGTTTGATTTCTGTCCCATGATTACAATCGAGTTATCTCTTCTTACGGTAGTATTCATCACGAACTAGCGTTAGTTGAAAGATCATGAAAAGCCCGCTCCGTCCCAATATGTGACTCCTCAGCAATACGCACCCACGATCCCCTCCCAGTGATCCAACTCATGACCTTCGCGTTTCACAGAGAGCGCATTAACTATTAAGTCATTGGGTCCGAACTCAGTGGTCCTCAGTTTCCTACCTCCGTCCATTCGCGATAAAGCGAGATTGTTGATTCTGTAATCACTTGTATGTTGCAGGTTTCTTATGTATCAAATGAAAGCTTGTTACAATATATGACTATAAACATTCAAATAGAAGAAATTGAATAAAAGCAATTAATAAAGTGTGTAACCACTTCTCTGGCATTTTAATGTCCAAAGTCTTCACATTTTGACTGACACGAAAAGTTTAGTACATAAGAACTTCATTTAATGAAGCTACACGTATATTAACTGGTAGGCTCTATTTGTCTTCACTTCCTACCCAATAAGAGACACGTTCAGAACCGTTTCGAAACATTTTAACGTCTAGGATGGTCTATAAACTTTTCAAAATATGTCTTTTATATTAATACAAGTAGAGTGCAATAAGAAAAAACTTCGTACTATGCATTGTATTCCGATGCTTTCTCTTCAGCTGTTTACAGGTTATTAGAAGTCAATTCACCAAATGAATGAAGATCAACGTATCTCACCATTGAAAATGCATAATCCATTGGAACATTACGAAAGATTAGAGTATAGGGAAATACGATATGTAGACTTTGGGAGGCAAGTAAATAATCCTGAATTACGTTAATCGTTATCTGTTTTATCCACTGACTGTTAATAGCTCGTGAGCAGCTAAAGAGAAGGGGCCAAAATACCCCGTGTAGACAAAGTGTATTCTTATTGCTTGATCGAAGTTTATAAAGGGAACCAAATAAATAAAAAAAATTAACATTTGCATTCTTGTTTATGATTTAGACTCATCTTATTGTGTATTGCGAGCTCGTCTTGCTGCCAAGTTATTCGCAGTGGTATTAATAATCAAAATAGTGTTGCTCATCAAGGTGTTTCAAGTGTGGAAGGTTGTAAGAGTCGGAAGGAATCTCAGGAATCTCGTTTGTCTATTGATATTTCTTCACGTTCCAGCTCACCAGACACTGAATACCATGTAAGTATCTTGTCTGTGTTATTCCTTACTATATATCCCTACCACTTATAGATGTTCTTTTTATCACAGAGTAAGGGTTTTGACTAGTGAACATATTTTACAGTGTTTCATGGTTTCAATAATCCTGTCTTGTATTAAACTAGTCTATGATACCATGATCGTGAAATAAGGATTGGTTGAATCTATACCCTTAAGGTACTGCAGCTGTTGTCTGACATGACTGAAATAACTGCGTTTTTGGTTCCCTGTTCATCTTCTGGTTAGTGATAGGGAACTATCATATAAAAACTGTTCAGTATGCAGACATAAGATCAACACAGAAACTCCCACAAAAGTACGCTTGTCTGCAGTAGTATATAAAGAATAAACTGACAGAAAAAGACTGATATCGAAGTAGACAGAGGTGTATAGGAGGAGAGGGAATTTAAAAATTAGGATTAGCAGAAACATTCAAGCTTTGGAAGACATCAAAGAGTGAACAGATCTGCGCCATTGTGACCGATTCTCAGCAGTTTCACCGATGATCTCCAACCATTGATCCTATTCAGTATATAGTAATCATTACCATTTCGTATTCTGGCTTTACGCGGATAACTTGATAGTTACACTTCAATTTGACTTTATCTCGGAGTTTTATTTCGGTTACGTTAACTGGTCACTGCCAAGCATATTTTAGGTCCCTTTGTTCACAATCTTCGGAATCGAGAGTGCTTTTCAACTATGTTAGTAATTTTTAAGAAATTTCTCAAGTGATTCGAGTAATAGGCTTTTTTTATTCAAACAAGTTTAGTCACTGATTTACTAGTTTACTAGACCAGACTAAAACATGGCATCAATGCATGAAGTCCTTGACCGTTGGTTTGAGCCATGTAGGGCGATCCAGACTAGCTAGTTGGAGTCCGCGGGACGAGAGAAGTCAATGCTTGGAGACTAGGTGATATGACTCGGGACCGATGTCAGTGGCGCAGATGTATACACACATTATCCTCATCTTAACCACCATTATCTTCTCATTTACTACCTTCTACTTCTGCTTCTTTCGACCGACTTTTCCCTTCTTTATCTTCCATTTTACTGCCTTTTTACTTGGTGTGCTGATATGAGGTGTGACAACTTGGACCGTCACGCAGTAATGTCCTGGTCCTATGTTGATCTTGATGATGATGATGATGATAATGAGTTGCCTTACAGTCAGGCTACTCTCTTAGTGTACAGTGTTGGATTTAAAAATGTCGTTAAAAATAATTTAGCATATGATTTCTGTTTGAAGTTTATTAACAGTAAGCTAATAACTAACTCTTAATTTTATGGCAATAGCTGACAATTGGCATATGTGCTGGCATAAGCGTTTAAGCAATGTACTTTCAACGAGTAGCTAACTGGTTTGAAATTTGTTCTATACAGTGAAGTTTGCATATGCCGAAAGTACTAGTTGTACAATAGATGTGATTCAAAATTCAATGCTTAGTCTTGTACGTACTTTCTTAGGTGCATTGACATAGAGTTTGATTACGTAGTTGTAGTTTCGTCCATCATCATTCACTCGTCGTTCACTTCTGAACTCTCGAAAAGCAGTACTTGTCTTTTACCGTTCATACAGTAGATAACTAAGCAAAACGGTGGATAATTCGTGCTGTATATGTTCACGGGATTTACTTCATCTAGCATTAGATGAGGCAAAATCAGCTTGGTCATTCATTTTCATCTAATCCTCTAGGCCTCAAGTATATTCTTCGGATTTTTCATACTTTATTCACCTGGTCAAATGGCATTTCAACCTCATAGTATCACTAGTAACCTAACCGTATGTCACCTTGACATCATCTTTACTTTATCCTTCATTACTGGAAATAATATCAGACACTACACGTATCCTCAATGTTTACATGAAATCTAATTAGCTTATATCTCGTAAGGGGATTATAGACTCTTGATGCTTAAAAGGGTCTTTATTTGCTTAATTACGTGTCCACTCTACGTTTTAGGACAGTATACTTTATGAGACTGTATGAAATTTTAAATTACGAACTAGAACTATTAGGATATATTGTGCATTAATGAGGCGTGATTTTAACTATTTCACGACTACCGGTATCCGGTATTTTGCCATGTAGGCTTTATGCGGTGTGACTGATATTAGTGGTCGTTGTTTCGTTCATATAATGTGTGGAGTGAGTAATTGTTAGCGTACTTCTAATTAATCTTTTAATTCATTGCAATATTTTTCACATTTATTTTAACGAAATAGTGACCATTAGTGTCATTCATACCACATAAATCTTACAGACAACATGCCGGATACTGGAAGTCAGTCAATTAAAAAATGTCGTATGTGAACGTTTACGATAAAATCAAATGTTACTGGGATTCATCATGATCATCATCCAAATCAACGTAGGATCAGGCATTACTGCCTAACGGTCCGAGTTGCCACAGCTCATATCAGTACATCAAGTAAAAAAGTAGTGAAGTGGCAGATGAAAAAAGAAAATTCAGTCAAAAGTAATGCAAAGTACCAAAAGAGAGAAAGGAAGAATGAGAAAATGGTGAGATTCGGTATAGTGTCGTTAAGATGAGGATAATGTGTGTATACATACATCTGCGCCACTGACATCGGTTCTGAGCCATATCGTCACCTAGAGTCTCCAAAGACTGGTTTCTCTTGTCCCGCCGACCCCAATCGGCTAGTCTTCATCGCTCCACACGGCTCAAACCAACAGTCAGAGACTTCATACATTGGTGCCATGTTTTAGTCTGGCCGCCTGGAGCATTTTGCCAGCCTGAACCTACTTCCGCCAACATTGTGTGACGTGGCAGACGGCGATTGGGCATACGTAACACATGTCTCAACCATCTCAGTCGATGAAGGTTTGCAACTGTGTCAACTAACTTATCTCTTTTCCCTAAACTCTACCCCTGACTTCTGCGTTACTCACTTGGTGGCACCACGGAATACGTCCTATACTACGAAGGCGACGGTGGTCAAACGCTCGGAGCCTTCTCATACCTTCCACCTTCAATTACCATATTTCAAGGCCATATAGTAGAACCGAGAGGACTGCTGTGCAGTACACGCGACCCTTAATAGACAATTGGACATCACGGCGCGCCGCAGGTGGGGTGAGTTGGCAAAAGCCAGCCGAGCCTTTTGTATCCGTGCAGAGATTTCATCTGCCAGTGAGCCACCAGGGCAGGGCTGATCTTACTTCTCAGGTAAGTGAAGTGGTCGACACACTCAACCACTACACTCCCTATCGTTAGCCGATGCACCGTTGAAGATCAATCCTGGAGCAACAATTTGTATTTAGGTGGTGAGAAACGCATCCCAAACATTCTTAAATTGCCACTCAAGGTGTCGAGAAGACTGCATCTTGTCAGCGTCTTCATATAACCGGACCATGTCATCTGCGTATTCTAGGTCCAGCGAAAATTCTCCCGCGATTAGGTCAACCTCTATGTAGTCAGGGGATGAGAGGGGGACCTCGATAAGAATATCTATGATAAAATTGAATAAGAATGGAGACAGTGAGCACCCCTGACGGACCCCACTCGACGAGCACACCTGCCCGAAAATCTCACTATAAGCTCTAACATGCTCAAAAGCGTTTTAGTAGGGAGCCTTCAATAAGGTGATGTACTTGCTCGGCCCTCCTTTCAAAGAGAGACATTTCCATAAGACTTCTCGATCAACGGAGTCAAATGCCGCCTTCGAGTTGAAAAATACAGCTATTGTCGTGCGTCGGTAAACGTGTCTGTGTTCCAGAACCTGGTGCAGTGTGAATATTTGGTCGATACACCCGTGGCCGTGTCTTAAGCCTCCCTGGTTTTTTCGGGCTTGCTGTCCCCGAGCTCCGCTTAGACGTCGAAGAATTATAGAACCAAGAATTTCAGATACTATGTTCGTCAGGTTGATTCCTCTATGGATATAACGAGAAGACTTCTCGCCTTTCTTGAAGACTGGAATAATCGGTGACTTAGACCAGTCAGAGGGGATCGTATTTGATTCCCATATACTAGCTAAGATTTCCGTTAACCTGACTAGGAGCACTCTGGCAATATTCTTGTATACCTCAGGACTTAGTCCATCTGGTCCTGCTGCCCCTCCTTGTTTCAAGTTACTTAGTGCTTTCTAGACTTCTCCTAGTGTTGGGGCCCCTATCTCAATGTTCCATTCAGGATTCGACTAGATGGCGGGCAACGTGATAGTGGCTGGAGGCCAGTTAAACTGTCCCTCGAAGTGTTCTACCCATAGTTCCAGTCGTCTCCCCTGCAAGCGAATCGCGGATCCGTCTTTCTCCCCTATAGGCTCACTAACTGTTATTGACCTTTTCCCCCAGTCTCCTTAATAAGTCTAAATAACTGTCTACTGTTACAAATCGCCGCTGCCTTTTCCATCTCTTTATCCTTCGCTGCCCACCACTGTTGGTGGTCGTTGCGTAGACTTTTTCTCAATCTACTTTGAAGTTTTGCTCGCTCTTCATTGTACTCAGAGCCTGCAGGGATAGGTTCACGTGCATCCATTAGTTCGGAAGAAGCTGCTGATATCTACTGTCTCTTTTCAGCCAGTCTTTCGAAGTCGGCAACTGTCTTCAGTGCTGCTTTTACAGCAGACTGAAGATGGCACCAAGCTTCTTCTGGATGGGTGATAGTTTTCTGTTCTGATAACTGCCTAGCCAACTTCTCACTGAACACGGCTTTGGTGTTTTCGTTGTCGCGCAGCACTCATGATGGTTGTGTCGTCAAATTTTTCCTACGTCCATTGAATTGCAGACATATACGTGCTCGAACCAGCACTTGGTCGCTATCCAAACATGTACTCCAGAAGGAGCAGCAGTCTTCCACCTATCCTCTCCAGCGGTAACTGATAACAATGTTGTGTATATATGCCCATCGCTGAGTTGAGCTCTGTGGACGCCACGTCAGACAGTGTCTTTCTTTATGTCTGAAATTGGTGATGGCTAAAAATAGGCGGTTATCTGAGCATAGTTGTAATAGACGAC